TAGGTATATTAGCTTTAGCTTACTAGTTATTATACTTAGTTAAAAATTTATTTAATATTTTATATATTTTTGCTAAGGCCTTATAACAAGCAACCTAAATTTAAGGGGAATAAAAAAATACTTAATATAAAACTTATTAATAAAAAGCAAGAATAAAAAGTTAAAGCTATTCTTATTAAATAACATGCTTATAAACTAAACTAGTTTTTAATTAAATAAAAAGGCTAGCCTAGCTATAAAAACTTATAAAAGTTATTTAAAAATTTTAAGCATGTATAAAAGGCTTTAAAAAATTATTATAAACTAGCTAAAATAGCACTAGAACACCCCTAATTTAAAAAAAAGTAATAATAATTTTTTACTTACTAGGTTTTTATATTACTAAAGCTAAAAAACTAGCAAAGTAGTTATTTTTTTCCTATATTTTAAAAGGTTTAAAGGTTTAATAAACTACTATTATAAATAAAATACCTTTTAATAAAATCTGGACTACCTATAGCCCTAAAAATAATATTAAACTTATATATTAAAAACCTAGGTAAAAATAGTTACCTTTTTTTTTTATTTTATATAATTTTAAGGTTTAATAAACTGTAATTTAAACGGCTTTAAACTACTAAAATTTATAAATTATATTTATAAAAGTATATTAAAAAGGGAAAAAAGTCTTTTTTTAAAAAATAAAAAATAAATAAAATATTAAAGTAATACCAGGCTATTAACCTAAATAGCTAGCTACATGCTAAAAATATAAATAAATATAAAACCTTAAAAAAAGGCATAAATAAAAATATAAAACTTTTAAAAAGTAAAATTTAGGATTACTATAATACTAGAATTAGTTATATTAAATATATTTTTATTATATATTTTTTAATATTTTTTATTAAAAGCGGCTAAAGTCTTGCTAGTAAATAAGCAAAGCTTATTAATAAGTATAAAAATAATATAATATAAATTATTTATAAACCTAACTTTAACTAGCACCTTATTAAAAATCTTAGTAATATTTTTTATATATTTATTAAATATTTTTTATATATTTATATATTTTTTTAAGCTTTTATTAGCGGGCAAGCATTATAAAATATTAATATTATTATATATATAAACTAAAATAAGCTTATATTTATTATTATTATTATAATATTAAACACATGCCAACCCTGGACCCTAAAAAATATAATTATAATAAGGCTTATAAAGGTTTTTTTTAAAAAATATTACTAGTTTACTACTAGCAGCAAGAATTTACTAATTATTTATATTTTTTATTTTTTTATTATTATAAAAAATTACCTTAGTATATTTAAAATATATTTAAAAGTTATTAGCTATTTATACCAAAAGCTATTTAAAAAAAAATAAAAAAAACTTACTTTTTTTAAAAAGGCGGGGCCGGCTATAATAAAAGTAAAAAAAGTTAAAGTAAAAAAAATAAAATTAAAAAGGGTAATTATAAAGGGTATAATAGTGCTAGTATTATTATTAATATTATTATTATTATTATTTAAAATATTTTTATTTAAAACACTTAATAAATAAAAAAAAAAATTAAAAAATATATTATTAAGCTTAAAAAGCTTATAATAATTATATATATTATTTATAAGCTAATTAATAGCAGCCTAGCGGGAAATAAAAAATAATAATAAAATAAGTTACTAGTTTTAATAAGTTTTAAGTTAGTATACTTTAATATTAATATACTATTACTAAAATACCTTTAAATAGGTTATTATAAATAAAAAAATACTTATTATTAAAGTAAAGCCCTATATATAAATATAAGCTAAAAAAAAAATTATTTTTAAAATTAATAAAATAAAAAAGTGTTATTTATAATTAGTTATTTACTACTATTTAAAAAAAAGCCTTAAAAGCTTTATTTAAAATTATTTAGGGGACTTACTACTAGGGAAGTAACTAGGCAAGTAATTAAAAAAAAGTAATTTTTAAAAGTAAGGGGCTTTTAAAGTTTTATTTAAATTTTATTTTTTTAATTTTTAGTAAAAAAAGTTATTAATTATACTTTTTTAATATTAATAAAGCGCAGCGCTATATTAAAAAAAAATAATTTTACTTAAGTATAATTAAAATAAAAAATAAGGTAAAGGGGTAAAATAAAAACTAAAATAAAGTTATATAATTTAATTATATAAAAGTAATTTAAGGTTTAAAGTTTTAAAAAAATTAAACTTAGGTTAAACTAATAAAAAAGCTATTTTTATAGTTAGGCACCTTTTTAAAAGTAAATAAGTAGTAAGGTATTTTAAATAAAGTATTAAGTATTATTTAATATTTTAAACTAAGAATAATAAATAATAAAAATAGTAATAATAAAAAATACTATTATATTATAATATAATAATAAGTTAGTATTATAAATTACTTACTTATTATCTTTTTAAGACAGCTAGCGCTAAATTATAAATAATTTATTTTTTTTAAAAAAAAAGAAATTATTAGGGCTAATATTAATTTAAATTATATTATTAAGTAATACCTAAGGCACCTAGGTCACGCCACTGTAAAGTATTAATATTACCCATGTAAAATACCTTAGGCACCTATTTAGTTTAATAAATTTTATTATTATAAATTATTATATAAGACTTAATATAATATTAAATTTAATATAATATTAGGTTTAATATAATATTAGCTTTAACCAGGGACCTTAGCTTAGGGACCTTAGGTTTTAAATATTATTTAAGTAGTAAAATAAAGGCATGCCTTATACTAAATTACCTTAATAATTAAAAAGTAGCTATAGGGGGCGCGGATATAAAAATATTTAAATATTACCTACTTTTTAAATAAAAATAACTTAGGAAATTACTTAAAGGCTTTAGGCCTTTAGGCAAGGCCTATATAAAAAGGCCAAAGGCCATAATATATCTAGTTTTTTAAGTAATTCTTTTGGTTAAATTTATTAAGGTTTTGAATACTTTATTCTTATTAGTCAAAGATACTTTGCCAAGCTTTATTATTATTAGTAGAGAACATCTGGGTGCTAGGGCGCCCTTACAATAAGCTAATTAAATTTCTTAGATTAATAGTATCCCGCGACTATAAAAGTAGGATAATCTGCCTTTTTTAAGCCATGTATATAAAATAAATAGCTTAGTATTTTAGCCTTACTAAGGCTAGGCTGGTAAAAACACTAATAATAAAGGGGTATATTAAAATTATATAAAAAGTTAATTAATTAAATATTATAAATCCTAATATACCTTTAGTTCTTAATACCTTTAGTACTTATGCCTTTACCTAATTAATTAAATTTTTTAGCTAGCTTAGGAAAACCTGTGTTAACCTTATATACTTAATTTAATTTTTATAATATTAATAAAAATTTTTAATTATTAATAACATGGTAGTTACTAAGCACGTGATTTACTATATTATAGCTAATTAAAGTAATTTAATACTTGCTAAAACCTATATAAAAAAAATAATTATTTATTTTAATATATTTTATTAAAATTATTTTAATAAAAAGTTTATTAAGGGCTTTATTATATACCTTTATAAGTTTTTTATTATATAAAGTTTAAAAAAATAAGTGGTTATAGCACCTTTATTTATTATAACAAAATTTTTAATATTTAATAGGGCTATTAAAATAGCCTTATTTATAAAAAAGCTTACTAAGGTACTTAAAGTATAAAATAGCAAGCTAATTATAATATACTTTAATAATACTAACACTATTATTAACACCACTAGTTAAAAAATTTTAGTTACTACATGCTAGTTAACTAATAAATACTTTTTTATATAAAATATTTATAAGTAATGTTTTATAAAGTTTTACCACATGCTAAAAAAAAAACCCTGTAAATAAGATAATTAAATTACTAAAAGTAACTAAGTTTACCGCCTTTTAAAATATAACAAGCCTTAAAAAAGCCTTTTAATTAGTAAATTAAAAGTATAAAAGTTTTGTTATTCTTGTTTTTAGTAATATTTCCTATTTAAAATATATATATAGCTTTATAATATAGCCACGCACTGCTTAGTTAAAGGGTGTATTAAACGCCTGGAGGGCCGGCGCCCGGGACACGCCTATTCTAATTAAGACTAGCGCAGCACGTGATAGTTAAGGTTTTCTCATGACTCGCCGCTCGCTACACATAGATAATCCAGAGGTTTACTATGAGCAACGCTATTGGCTAGTCATTATTGGTGCTACGGTAGCTGCGGCCTGGATCTCCCGAACGACGGCCCTGCACAGCATGGGCAATTCGCCAGGTCTCACCTATACCTCTCAGAATGCCTATGTTAAGGGTCAGGTAAGGATGGACGACACTCGAAAGTCCAGCGCATTCAACAGTAGACACAGCCAACTGGATAATCGAGTCAAGGTTCAACACACAAGCGAAGAACGGCGTGTGATTGGCGACACTGGTTGATAGAGAAGCGATCTTGGAGAACCTGGTCGCGCTGCTGGCTACATTTGCTGTGTGTACCTGCGGACTGGTAAAGAGGTCTGGCTGGGAGCAGTGGGAGTAGAAGATCTGGCTGGTCATAGGAAGAAAGGCCAGGAGAGTGGAGCGCGGGAAATGAAGGTAAATGGAGGCGCAGTGCGCGAGGGCTATGGCCTGGAGCATCATCTCATCAATCTCGCCTGTCGTGTTGAGTATACTGCGCTTAGCACTCGGCAATTGTGAAACCAGCTAGCGACGGACACACGAAGGGCATCCAACTTCTTGAGCGAGATGGGTTTTGCCTGCCAAAAGGCACTTTCGACTGGTCTGGTAAAGAAAAGGTCGATTACGTCTCATGTGGCTGCTGCTGGATCAGAGGGGATAAACAGCCGCACAGACTCGATTCAACCAATTGGTCAAATGAGGAAGTTGTTTGGTGTAATGGTGTAGACGCTGCCCTGGGTCCAATTCCAGGATCAGGGCCATGTTGCGCCTTGCGACCTCGCCTAGAACACACAAAACGGCAGGACAAATCCAGCGAGATACACATCTCAGCGCCAAATCAACCTACGATCCAAAATTCTCGACATGGAGATAGACTCCCTGCGCACCCGTTCCCTTATGTACAGCCCGCTCGTCACTGAGCGAGACGACGCTGCGACGGGTATCATCTGCCAGACTAGGCGGGCCGCAGACGACAACGGCGCTTTCGCCCGTGGCTTCTTCAAGGGCTGTCCGTATCAAAGGATGAACTTGAGGGCGACCATGCTGTGGCGTCAGGGCTGGGAGTCGTGCAGGTTGAGGACTCGATTGATGTTGCTGCTGATGCTCTAACGGGCTTGCATTGTTTGCTGAGGGCAGGGGTTGGATGGCAAGGGTGTCTTCATCTGTTACTGCTGACTTTTCAAGAGAGTTGGTTGACGCAGGCTCTGTGTCTGACGTGGACGACCCATGGCCGAGAATAGCGAGTTCCATGTCGTCTGTAACATGGATGCTGACTTTTATATCTGTCAAGGTATCTGCTGATGCTCGCCGCAAAACGTTCACGTCCGCAAGCACGGTCAGCAATTGTGTCTCGAACCAAGCAAGGTGCTTGCGAGACCTTACCACCCACACGAAACGAACCCGCCTGACCACAGCCTTACCCAACTGCGCAGACTGGACGCGCTGTAAAGACAAATCTTTACTGCCGCTGTCATTCTTCCATCGTCTAACGAGGTCCCGCAACAAAGGCATCGTAAACGTAGCGCCCATGCCACCGGCAATGAGAACCACAGTATCGAATTGGTAAAGTGGTCGAAGTACCCCATAAGGGCCTTCGAGGAGTACGGTGCATGATTTGCCAGTATCCGTTCCGAGAACAGTGTTATTCTCCGCGTATTTATAGAACCGTCTTGTTCCTCCTTTCTGGGATCGAATGAGGAATTCGATCTGCTTATCTTCCGGTATGGAAGAAATTGTGAACGGATGGCTCTGCAAGGGCACGATTGCGTGGCAAGTGAGGAACATATGCTGGCCCTGTGCCCACCGAAGTCCTGGATCGCGGATGGTCACTCGAGTGACATCGCCTGGCAATGAAGTAAAAGAAGCCTGATGCTTCCAGAGAGCACGCGAAGCAGGATGGAAGACTCCCAGGTTAACATACGCCCCCCAAACATACCTCAGAACACGGTCGAAAATCAGCAGTCCAACCGAGATCCAAACCCACACCTTATCCTCCTCCTTGACATGCATCCAAACCGCCACGATAAACCCAACAAACATCACAAGATGCTGCAGAACAAAGAACTCATACCCAAGCCTGCGTAGTGGCCTCGCAGACGAAACCACAATAAACGTCAGAATGCACCAAGCTGCAAACCCCCGCTTGGCGTAGTACTCGTTCTTCAGCTGGTACGTGATATAGTTGTACCGCCCCCAGCTCCGGAACCAGAAGCCCATGTGTAGCGTTGCACAGAGCCAGAAGGTTCGAGCGATCCAGCGGTGGTACCAGTTCAGCCGGGCGTAGTCGGTCCCGCTCAAGATGCCGATGATGTTTCGGCGGCCGGAGAGGAGGAATAGCAGCGGGAGTTGGGCGATTGTGACGAACCCGGTGCGGTAGCCGACGTCTTCCCAGGCCCACTGGTTCTCTGTGTCGAGCTTGTAGAAGCATAAGATGAGGACGGTGACGAGGTTTGCCAGTACGATTGCCAGCGGACCCAGCGGTGCAAAGTAAAGTCTGTGTCGGGATATCGACACCGGGGGCGGTACTGCGTGGCTTGCTTCGCGGGCCAATGCTGTCAAGGTGGCGTAGAAGCGGAAGAACAGTGATTTTGGTTTTGATGGGGTGAGAGATGTATCTCGAAGCCTGGCAATGGCAAGATTAGTTGAGGCTCGGGTCATGGAGAGTGGGCGCACCGTTGGAAGGCCAGCAGGCGATTGATCAGGTTGGCAAGAGCGGCGGCCCCAACGAAGCTGCCCACGACTGCCCAGTAGGCTTTTTGGAGGTTCTGTGGGCTGGGCATATCATGGCCCATGTGCATATGGCTGCTCATCTTGAAGGTCTTGAGAAGTTGAACCTTCACCTAACCCAAGCTCGTCCTCAAGTGATTTCCATTAGCAGCACAAAAGATGAATAGCTCGAGAAAATGAAGATGCTTGCATGCCAAGATTGATGGCTGATGGCTGGTGAGTAATAATCTGCTCACCTTGATTTTGTTCTGGTTGGCTATAATGTGCTCAAGCGTGCTCACCTTGTTTACTTTAGCTTGGCTTTCCAAATTCCTAGAGGGAAGGCATTCCAGGGATATCCACTCAAAGATATAGCCTCGTGTCTTGTCTCTATCATCAAAACCCATCCATCCTTCCAAATCCAGCTTTCAACAAGACCACAAGCAGAATGGAAATGGACCACTCGCACACCTCCCCCTCGTCACCCATGACAATGGCCATGGTCTTCACAACCACCCACAACACCCCCCTTTTCTCCACCCAATGGACCCCCTCATCCACCGCCTCCTACGCCGGCACCTGCATCTTCCTGGTCATCCTATCCATCCTCTCCCGCTGCCTCGTCGCATCCAAAACGCACCTCGAGCAGCGCTGGCGAAACACCCACCTGAAGCGCCGCTATGTCGTTGTGGCCGGGAAGCCCTCCGAAGCAGCCCGTGTCGAATCCCATCCGGACGCAAAGACCGCGATGCTTGTTACGTCGCAGGGCATCGAGGAGTCGGTACGAGTTGTTCATCGCGATACGTACGAGACGCCGCCGTGGCGGTTTAGCGTTGACTTGCCGAGGGCTGTGGTTTATGTTGTCATTGTTGGGGTGTCGTATCTTTTGTAAATCTCCCTCTTGGGTCCAGGATGGTGGGATACTGCTAATGTCTGCTTGTAGGATGCTGGCTGTGATGACGATGAACGTGGGCTACTTCGCCTCTGTCCTTGGAGGGTCGTTTCTGGGCGAGTTGCTTGTTGGGCGGTTTGTGCACTGGGACGAGGCGCATGGGCATTGAGTCTGATATTCTTAGACATTCTTACAGTCATGTCGGTTTACAGTATTACTACATCTTGCAATAGCAAATACAAGACGTTGAAAGACTGCATGGACCTCGTACCTAAATCTATATGGGTTACCCCCCGCATCCTGCCCTTTGTTAAGGTGTGAATGGCTCGGCTATTGAGGACATGGAAAATGCCCAGACTCGGAGGCTTGGGACGAGCAGATATGAGCAGATTTCTTAACTCCATCGGTCCTAGCAACTTATCTTAATCTACTGCACTTCTGTTGTTACTATGGTGTTTTGCTGGAAGAGCTAAGAAATGCACGACCTGGAGCGAGGGCACAAATCAACTTCCAATGAAATACAATGTTGCCAATAGCTCCCTAATAGCGAGGTAGCCACTGTGCACAATTCACTCAATTTAATTGAGCCCCTGCTTGGAAGGCCCTGCGTGGTGGAACCGTCCGATTTACTGGCCCGCGGACCCTGAGTGTTACTGAAATTCCCTTCTTATAAGTCCACACTCGACACTCTCTTCTTCTTCTCTCCTCTCCTCTCTACCCTCATCTTCCAGCACTTTCCGTCCTCCTATCCATCTCTCTACTCAGTCAGCTATATCAGCCACAATGAAGCACTCAATTGTCGCTTTAGGGCTCCTCCCCCTCACAACCGCCCACTTCTCACTCACCTACCCAACCCCCCGCGGCACCGACACCAAAACCATGGCCCAATTCCCCTGCGGCGGGCTCTCGCCCTCCCCAAACCGCACGCAAATCTCACTGGACTCGCCCAGTTTCCCCGTCGCCCTAGACATGGGCCACGACCAAACAGCCGTGCAGATCCTCCTCGGTCTGGGCTCGGCGCCAGGCCCAAACTACAACGTCACGCTGCGCAAGACGTTCCGCGTCGAGGGGCTCGGCGGCTTCTGTATCCCGGACGTCGAGCTGAGCGAGGATGTGCTGGGGGCAAGATTGGTGGATGGGTTGGAGGTTACGTTGCAGGTTGTTAGTAATGGGCATCCTAGTGGGGGGCTTTATGCGGTATGTCCATGTGCTTTTGATTCTTAGGGATGGTCTGGGCGGATTGGGCTAACGCGGTGACCCATGGTGTAGTGCGCGGATCTTCAGCTCGTGTCTGGAAGCGTTCCGGGTCCATCTGACTCAGTCTGCGCGAATAATACCGGTATCACTGCGGTTGCGTTCACTGGTGCCGCGGCAGACCGCAATGCCAATGCGTCGACTGCTGATGGCGAGGCGCAGAGCGGGGACTCGGGACATGAGCATGGCAATGGAAACAGCACTGGTAGTGACAACGAGACTGCGACTGCAGACGCTGACTCGCCTACCTCGACTGATGCGGCGTCGGCGATTCAGACGGCCGCTTGGGGTGTTCTTGGAGCTGTGGTTGTTGGTGGTCTGGCTGTTCTGTAAGCTGAAGCTCTTGGGTCTTAGAACCGTATCTTGTCAAGGGCGATTCTGCAGGTGGATAAGATAAGGGTTCGCTGTCTGAAGCAGTGATCTCCTTTGGAGCAATATCCCGTCTTTTGTTGTGGAAACATACCAATACTATACTTGTGCTGCTTTTGTATGAAACTTGTTTTTCCTGGGCGACATTCTTCTGCACTCCCGACTTTGTAAACGTGTCGATCTACTGTGTCTCTGCAAGTCAAGACTCATCTTTTTTCGCATCTATAACCACAGCCTCTGATTGGTCACTACCATGATGTAGACCCAAGGGCGCGGCTGACATGTCACGTGAGGCATCCTAATTGTTCGAGTCATCCATGTCATATTGTTCTCCAATTTTTCTTTTCTTCGTCCGGGTGGCTGCTTTATTATTATTTTTAATCCCAGCCATGGCCACGACAGCAGATAAATTCGAGAGGCTGCGCGCAGTCGGTAAGAGGAGTCGGTGCAGCCTGTGACTCAATTGACCGTTATCTAGGCCTCTCGGAGAAGTACTCCACCACGAGACACCCTCTGCGCTTCTACATAAATGTCGCCATCACAGCCCGCTACACAATCCCGGAGAGCTTTACTCTTCCGCTTCAGGACTATGTATACAAGGCCGTCGAGACACTGATCAACCAGCATCCGATTCTCTCTGCAATCCCCATTGGAGAAGAGACGAACGAGCCGTATTGGGCGCGATTGCCGGAAATCGACCTGACTCAGCCAGTTTCTTTCCGGACGACGGCCAAGAACTTGACACTGGACGAACATGACAGCGAACTGCAGTCCTTGATCGAGGCGCAGCATGAAATCGGATTCACGGCGCCCGAGCCCTACTGGCGGCTTCTTATCCTGACTGACGGCGAATCTGAAAAACGCTTCATTGCTGTTTTTATGTTCCACCATGCGCTTGGCGACGGTACTTCTGGCAAGGCGTTTCATCGGACGTTCCTTCGGGCTTTGCGAGGAACGGCGTCGTTGAAGCCAGGGGAAGCTAAACAGGTCGTCATACCGCCAAAGACAGCCCTCCTACCACCACTGGAGGACGTCCACCCCCTTCCTATATCTATACCTTACCTGCTGAAGGTCGTGTACAAAACTTGGTTTGCCTCCAAGCCAGACCCAAGCCTATGGGCGGGAGGACCATTCCAACTTCCCCTGAAGACACACGTCCGGGTCCTTGTTCTATCAAGGGCTCAGACATCGGCGCTCGTCAAAGTTTGCCATGAGCACGGCACGACAGTTACCTGCGCAGTCGAGACCGCCATCGCGCGCTCGATCTTCCCACACATCCCTGAAAGGTACACCAGGGTACAGGGTAGCATACCCATCACCCAGCGCTCATGGCTCCCGGACACAATCACGGATGAGTCAATGGGAGTCTATGTGCAGGAAATGCCAGAGACCTTCTATCGCCAGGCCGTGACCGGGGAAGGGTTCCCGTGGGACGAAGCACAGCGTGCCAAACGAACAATCACAAAGGAACTTGCACTGAAAAGCAAGAATACCGCAGTTGGCCTATTCAAGTATGTCAAGGACTACCGCAAAGAGCTGTGCGAGTCCAAGATTGGCAAGCCCAGGCCGGCCACCTTTGAGGTGTCTAGTCTTGGCGTTGTGAAGACGGAGACTGCGGAGGATGTGTCTGTCCCGCAGATGGGTAGAGTCATTTTCACGCAGAGCGCAAGTGTGACTGGTGCTGCTATCCAGTTCTCGCTTATTACTGGCGCCGATGGGTGTTTGGCCTTAGGAGCGTCCTGGCAGCCTGGTGTTGTGGAGGAGGACACGGTCCAGGCCGTCATGGACTCGGTCAAAAGGGAGCTGCACCAGCTTTCTGGGCTTTCTGGATAGACTTGTCCCGGGCCTTGTAATGGTAATGTTTAATGTATCTAGACATCGATAGTTGGACATAATTGCGCGAGGCCGGAACAAAGTGGAGGCCCGCGCATGATAAATTGTAGGTCCCGGCTCCCAGTCACGTGAGCTTATTAGGGATTATATAAAATAGTAAAATTGCTTAGGGTTACTATAATTAGTTTAAAAAAAGTATTATTATATAACTTTTTTTTATTACCTAAACATCGCGGTATTAGGTTTACTATAATTAGTTTAAAAAAAGTACTATTATATAACTATTTTTACTACTAAGTTCTTATAATATTATTATTTAATATTTCTAGTTTTATTTTTTATATTTAAATATTATATAGCCTGTATTTATAAAATTAAATATAATATTAACTACTTGCTACACTAGCTATAATTATTAACTTTTAATAATATAATTTTAGCATGCCGCGGGCTGTAAGCCTACTAATACTTATAATAAATATAAAAATTAATAGGTACTTTAGGTTTACATGGCTTTATTTATTTATTATTATTATTAACTTAGCTTTAAAAAAGTAAAAAGTGCTTTACTATAATTACTAACCTTTTTAATTTACTTACTTAACACCCTTTTTTTAATAAAACTAACCTAAATATGCAATAACCACGCCTGTTATAACTAAAACTAGACTATTAATATTATAATATATATTTATTTAATAACTTATAATAAGTAAAATAATATTATAAAAATATAAAATAATAATATACCTAGTAAGTAGCTAGTTAGGTAGCCTATATAATTATTTTTAATAAATCTTAACTTTTTTATTTACCTTTAATATATTTATTATTACTTATAATTTTTATTACTCTTATACCCCCTTTCACGCCTATAATAACTATGTTTTTATTATTATTTATACCTTGCCTGCTAGCTAGGCGCCTATAGCTAGCTATTATTATTAATAAAAATAATATTAAATTAAATATTAATAGCTTTACTATTATAAGCTTTTAGTTAATTATTAAAAATAAATTATTTTTACCTTTATAAATTATTAAAGTTAACTTTAGTCTTTTTATACACGCAGGCCTAAACCATGCTTTTTTACCATGTTTATTTCCCTTTATTAATTTTATATATTTAGCTATTATAAACCATAATTAAAAGTTATTAAATAATTTTTACCGCCGGCTTAATATATACTAGCTAAAAATATATAGTTATTATTAAAAATAATAGTTTAATATAAATCTTTAAAAAAGGGATAATATTTACAAGTATTATATGTTAGTTAATTAAAATTAAAAAAATTTTAAATTTAGTTTATAAAATAAAATAAATCCTGGTAATATTCCTTTTTACCTTTTAAAATTAATATAAATTAAGGAAATGCTAATTACAAGAGTTTATATATTTATTAAGGTTTATTATATTTAAAATTACTAATATTTATATAAAGACTATATTATTAACTTTTTATAAAATACTAGTTAAGTATATAAATAGCTCCTGCTTTTACCTAAAAAACTTAAGGTATTAATTTTATAGCTATTTAATTTTAGTATAAACTAGAAAATATACTTATAATTTTATTATAACTTTAAAGTATAGTACTAGGTAATTAAATAATAGCTAGATTATTTTTAGGTAAATTATCCAGGGTATTAAAATATAATTAAAAATAATTATAACCTTATATAGTTACTAAAGAATAAACTAGTTAATTATTTTATTTTAAATTAAAAGCTAGCTAGTAAGCTAATTACCCTAAATAATAGTTAATAAATAAACCCTAATAATATATAGGTGCTTAATATAGTTATAATACTTAATTTACTTATAATAATTATAAAGCTTAAGGCATTATAGGCTATAATAAATAATATTATTAAATTAATATATAATAACCCTTATTTAACTTTTTTTTTATTTTATATAATACTATTATTTAAGTTTAACTGCTTGCAATAATTATTATTACTAGTATTTTTTACTTTTTTTTTTATAATAATATAAAGCTAGTTATAATATGTTTACGCAAGGTATTATTTATAAATTATATTAAATACCTACTTAAATATAAGAGTGGCTATTTTGCATGGTATCCCTGGTTTTAATATATTTACTTTAATATAATTTATTATTAATAAATAAATTAGCAAGCTAGTTTTTATATTTATAACCACGCGCCTGGCTAGCAAGATATTTTTATAAAATAGCTATAAGTAGCCTTTTAGTTAAATATAGCTAAATTATTTATATTATTAAGTTTTATTACTAGTTTTTTTAAAACTATTTACGGTACGCGGCCGTTTTAATATAATAAAAAAATAGCTTAAAAGCCATGGTTAAAAATATTAATAAGTAGCCTGTTTTCTGTTACCATGCGTGTTATTTTAACCTTTTATTTTTTAAATAAATATAGCTTACCTATTTTTAATATTCTTTATGGCTAATTTATACTAAAATAATTTAATATAATAATTACTTAAGTATAAAGCATGGCGTGATAATATAAAAGTTATTTATAAATAAATTATATAATATAATTTATAAAATAACCTTTATATTATTATAGCGTGGTTTTATTACTACTACCATATATTTTTTAATATAGTTATTAAGCCTAAGTTTAATATTATAAATAATTAATCTTACTATAAATAGTAAGGTTAAGGTTTAACTTATAACCATGGTGTGTATTAAATATAATTTACTTTTATTTTTAATAACCTTTAATAATTTAACAAGTTATAGTAGTTATTTAAGGCCTATTAAGGCATGTATATTATAGCTATAAACCCTTTTTATATATAAATTATTATTATTAATATAAATTATAAGGCTATTTAGCTACCTTAATTTTAATAAGAAAATATACTTACTTATCTCACGCAGGTTATAAATTATATACTATATTATTATTATAATATAAATTATTATTAATAAAAAAATAAGTAAACTAAGAAGGTTATTTATTACTTTTATTTTCTTATAATAATATAGCGTGATTTTTAATTAATAAAACTAACTAGTAGTACTTACTACTATTTCTTTTTAACCTGTAATAATATAACCTTAAACATGTTTAATTTAATTATTAGCTTAAAATAACTTATAAACTTAAACATGGCTATATATACTAGCAAGCGCTCCCTACTTTATTATATTATTAAATATATTATAAAGCCTAAAAAAAGATAAAGTTATATAAAAAGGTTATAAAATTAGTTTTTAAGTATGTTAATACGTGCTATTTTTTATTATTACTAGTATAAAAAATAATAAATACCCTAATTATAAAGCAAGATTAGTTTATATAAAAGGTTTACTATTATTTACTAGGCCTATTATTTTAAATATTAAGCTATAATATAGTTATTATTTTATATTTTATAAATTAAAAATAAAATAACTTATTTTTACTACTAAATGCGGACCGCAATAATACTAGTAATAAAAAAAATAGTATTAAACAGGGTTTAAATATAGTAGTAAAGTATATATAATAGCTATTAAAGCTTACTAATTTAATATTATTATATTATATACACTACTATACCCTATAGCCTAAAGTATATAAAAAAATTAAAAGCAAGATAAAAAATTATATTATTTATTACTACTTAATATATAATTAAGTTATAAACCTAAAAAACTTTGCCCGTGTTAAGTTAATACTTTATTATTTATTTATTAAAATAAATAACCTATATATAATTAATAAATTAGTATTTAATAGCTTTTATAACATGTATAAGTACTACCGTAAATACCATAGCTATAAAAAAAATAGCTATATATAAAATAATAAAAATATAAAAAATAAAATTAATTTACTAATTTAAAATAATAATACTAGCCTAATTACTAAGGTACTTTTTTAAAAGGCCATGGCAGCTTAGTAGCCTAGCCATAATAATAATTTTCTTATAAAACTTAATAGCCTAGGCCAGCGTGATATTAATTAATAGTATAACTAAATTTAGTATATAAAAAAACCTAGTTTTAGTCTAGAATTTTAGGATTTAGCAAAGGCAAATTACCTAGTAAATATATTAGTTTATTTATTAGCTTATTTAAACAGCCTAAAGGTTAAGTAACACTAGCTATATAATATTATAATTAAATATTATAAAAGTATTTTATAGTCGCGTGGTTTACTAGTCCTATATTTAAATAATAAGTAGTAATTTATTTTTATATATTTATTACCCTTACTAGGGTAATTATTAATTAATTTAAATAGCAAGGCTAGCACTAATAAATTTTATATTATTAGCTTATTATTTATAACCCTAAAATATATAGCTTTTTATACTAGTAATTATAAAACCTTTATTATTATATAGGCCGCTTTAACTAGTATTACTATATATAATATTAATAACTAAACCCTATACTTGTTATTTTAATTACTAGTTATATTAAAAGGCAAGAAGGGTTATAATTACCTATAGCCTTTAATATTATTAGCCTTGCAGGCAAGTTTTTATAGCATGTTATATTTAATTATTAATAAAAAGTTTATGGTAGGTTTAAAATAGCTATATTATATTAACTAATAATATTATAAAATTTTTTTAAACTATAAAGCTAAACCCTTTAATAACTTAAATATTATTTTAGCCAGGGACTTTTACTAGCTGTTTTTAATTAACTAAAGCCTTTTTTTTAAGGCCATGTTTTTACTTATAAATAAGAAAAAAAAGGCTGGTTAGTATTTATATAATTAATTTAACCTTATTATTAAGCTAAATATTATTTATTACTAAACTATAAGCTTTTAAATAACTTATATATTTATTTTTACGCTAAAGCACTTAAAAAAAAATATTATTATAATAAAAAATTAAAAGCTTTTTATAACGCGAGTACAGGCTAAGTTACCTATAGGTAAAAATAATACCTTTATAAATATAATTTATATATATAAAAAAAAAATAATATATACTAGTATAACTATAACCATGTGTTAAACTTTAGTAAGCTTATAATTATTTTATAAGTTAATTATATTAAATTTAGTACTATAATTATAAAAATAAACTAGGCTAAAAACCTAGCTAAAAAGCTTATGGTTTTTTTTAGCTATTATATTATACTAATATAAAATATTTAAATAAAAAGGGGTCTTGTAAATAGTACTATAGGCATGTTAATAAATATTATATAGCTATTAAAAATTATAAATCTTACCTAAAAGGCACCACTTGCTTTAATAATAATTTTTAACTAATATAATAATTTATATACTAAAAAAAATAATAGTTATAACATAGTGCTAATTTTTTATATAAAACAAAACTTTTATTATTATAGCGCTATTTATACTTATATATAATTTTTAGTTATACTAGTATATATAATAATAATTTATAAGGCTTAGGGGGTTATTATTAAGCAGGCTGTCCTAAACCTTATTATATATAAAAAGTTTTTATTAGGTTTTATATACATGGTTATATCACGTGTATAGTTGCTTAAAAAACTATTATTTAAGAAACTTTTTAACTATAACTAGTTAGTTAACAGCCTATTTAATATTAAAAAATAAAGGTATAAAAATAGTTATTTAAGGCGCTGCTAACATATATTTACTATAATTATAAATAATATTTTTTGCTATAAGAGTAATAATAATATAAGTATAAATTTAAAAATAAAATAATAATTTAAACTTACTTTATTAACTAGGGTCTAGCCCTGTAAACACTAATTATTTTTTAATAACTTTTTATTAAAATTATTTAATAAACCAGGGAACTTATCCCTACCTTTTTTTTTTTATTAGTAAACCTGCTTTTTTTATAAACTTAATTATAATACTAAAATATATTTTAGTAAATACCTTTTAAGCAGCAGCAGACATGTTTTTTTAAGTAATTATTATATTAAATAAATTATAAAGCTACTTAGCGCGGCCACGGGTTTATAATTAGGCTAAGATTAATATTTAAGTAAATACTTAATTATTTATTAAGTAATATTATAACTACTTTACGGCGCGGTTATTACTTTCTTTTTTTTTTTATTTTTATATATTTTTTTTTATAGCACAGGCGGTGGCAGCGGCGTTTTTAATATTAATTTTTAGGCTATTATAGTTAGTTACTAGCTTTATAAATTATTAGTTAAAATACTTATTATAATAATTATAATATTTACCCTTTAAGGTATAATAATAGTTAGCGCAGGCGCTAAACAATAACCTATTAATAATAATATAATTTATAAATAGTTTATTTTTTTTTATATACTAAATATAGGGCGTAAAAAAGCGCTTTTTAATAGTTTATACTATAATTACCTTTATATTACTAAATAATATAAAGGTGGCTTCCAGGTGCTTAACCTATAACTTTAGCTTTTATATTAATAGTATTTTAGCTAATACTTGCTAGCAATAATTACTTATAACCTTAATATAATTTATAATATATTATATGGTTAACGCGCTAGGTAATAATTTTATAATAAAATATAAAAATATAGTAAATAATATAGTTATAAATTATTTTTTATAATAATATATTAAAAAAATAGTATAATTAGGTTTAATTTTAGGAGGTGGCTATATTAATATATAACTTAATATTATAAAGTTAAGTTTTAAGTATTATAAAAATAAATAAAATAATAGTTATTTATTATTTATTAAAAATAAAATATAGCTTAAATAATAATAAAATAAGGCCATGGTATTTAATTAACAGGCTATAAACTATAATAACATGCTTTAAGTAAGGCTTTTAAAGTTATTAAGTAATTAATTTTATTAATTTAAAGTTAAATAAAAGGTGTTAATAAACTAAAATAATATTAATACTTTATTAAATACTTGCCTTTAAATACTAAATCTTTGCTTATAGTTTATATAAGCTATTTTTAATAATATTTATAATTAACTATACTTAATAAGTTATAATAAATTTAAACTTTTTTATTACTAGGGTCTAGCCCTAGGAAAAATAAATTAAAAAAAATTACTTATTTATTATTATTATTATATTTAATACCCTTAAAACTAGCTTTATTAATAAAATTATTTATTATAAGGGCTGTAATACAAGATAAGGTAACTAGCCTGGCTATAATAATATTAAAGTTTATTATTATTATAATTATAAGGCGGTGCAAGCAGCAAGCAGACTAAATAATATATATAAGTAAAATAGTAGTATTTACTTTTTTTTTTTTTATTTTTTTATTTTTATTTTTTTTTATAATTTTTTTAGCCTTTTTTTTTTATTNTTTTTTTTTTTTATTTTATTATTATTATTATTATTATTATTGCCTGGCACAGGAGCTAAATATATTAGCTAATATACTTATAAATAAATAAGGGTTATAATTTATATTTATTAATATATTATATACTAGAACTATTTTAATAATAATTTATATAATTATTACTAAAGTAGCCTAATATAATAATATACTTTATAAATAGCCTGTGGCCTTAGGTGTAATACCTATAAATTAAATTATTTTTAATAAGTATATTAATATATTACTTAATAATAGCTTTTTAGTTAATAGGGCAGGCTATAATTTTTTTTATTATATTAACTTTATTAATAAGCTTATAAAGCGCGAGCTTATGTTATAAATAATATAATTATTTATAAAGTTTATTTAAAACTATTAATTTATAACTTAAATAATTTATTATATTAATAATATAGGCCGCTAGTAGCTAGGTTAGTAAAAAAATAGGTAAGTAAGTAAAAAAAATAGTATTATTATTACTTTTAGTATTAGCTATTATAATAAAAAAAATTTAAAAAATTAGGAGTTTATAAATTATAGGTTTATATAAGTAAGTTATATATTACTTATATAATTTATTTTTTTATTATTTTTTAAACATGTTTATTAAATTTACTATTATTATAGCTATTAAAAAAAGTGTTATTATTTAAAATAAGCTATTAATAAAAGTGTTAAATATTAAATAAGCTATTAATAGTAGTATTTTTAGTATTTTAAACAAGATAAATTTTATTCCGGCCTCGCGTATTACTCCCGGCATTAAAGCCTGCGCCCTAGAAATAACAGGACCTACGTAAAGTCATTCTTTCCCCGCCGCCGGAGTAAACAAATCCTCCGGGCGGTGTGAAACCCGAGCCTCGGCCGACGGCAGAATGGGGGGGTTGTCTGTCCAACTTTCGAAAATCTTCCATCCTTCTTCGGATTTCTGGAAACAGTATAACCCCCATCAAAATGACTCGTGGACCTTTCATCGTCCCTGCGCTCAAGAAGCACACGGCCACCGTCATCATGGCCCATGGTCTGGGCGACAGGTTGGTTTCGTTCCGAGGGTCGTGAAGCGGCTGGCTGACATTGTTCCATAGTGGTGCAGGATGGTATGTCAAAACCTGAATGACAATTCGTTGCGATTCGAGAATTAATGCATGGCTCGACAGGGTCTCCCTAGCCCACAACTGGCGCCGACGAGGCATGTTCGACGAAGTGACGTTTATCTTCCCGAATGCGCCCGCGATCCCGATTACAGTGGTACGTTTGTCGCGGTTATAACGAATACCGGCGCTTTGCATGGAGGACGACGCTCACGAACTTGTGTCGATAGAACTTCGGGATGTCAATGCCTGGATGGTACGACATCACCAAGCTTGGTCGTGATGTGGGTGTTCTCTCCCCCTTCCACTCTCCAGCAGACGGCTAATAAACCGGCGGTTCAGCTCGACTTCCAAGAAGGGATCAAGAACCAAGACGAAACCGGTATCCTCAAGTCCCGCGATTACTTCAACTCCCTGATCAAAGAGGAAATGGAAAAGGGCATCAAGCCCTCGCGGATCGTCCTCGGTGGGTTCTCGCAGGGAGGCGCCATGTCCCTGTTCTCCGGTATAACAAGCCAGGAAAAGCTGGGTGGTGTTTTCGGTCTCTCGTGCTACATGCTGCTCAGCGACCGCATCAAGAACTATATCCCCGAGAACTTCCCGAACAAGAACACCCCGTTCTTCCTGGCGCACGGTACAGACGATGATGTCGTGCCGCATGATTTCGGCAAGCGCTCGGCTGAACTGGTTGAGCAGTTGGGGCTGGAGGATGTTACGTTCAACTCTTACAGGTAAGCTCTCGCTTTGGGTACTGGCGCTCTATGCCTGCTAACGGCGTTAGGTATCTCACACACTCTGCCGACCCGGTGGAGATCGAAGATCTCGAAAAGTTCCTGGAAAAGGTGATTCCTGCCGAAAACGAGGGCAACTTATGACTTGACCCTCCATCCGGGCAATGGACTCCATTCTCCTCCAGCGTCATCCTCGGCGCAGTGCTGCTCATCATAGCGATTCTGATCTACAGACGAGATAGAGCCCCTTCCAAGCACGAATCTAACTAGACAATCATGACCTATATACCATAAATTCATTAAACCATTCACTTCTTCACCCTCCCAATCGCCCTCTCAATAATCCCCACCATCGCATCATTACTCCCCGCATCAAACGGAATCATATGCTTGCCCCCATGGTCATAAACCTCCGCATTCCCTGGCTCACAAAGCCCAAAGAGCTTCAACCCCTGCTCATACAGCCGATCCTGCCGTCCGACAATATGCGCCGTCGGAATCCGAACCCTATACTCCCTCACCCCATTGACCTCGCGTAAACTGTCAACCTCAACAGGCCCACCCCCATCAAGCTCATACGGCGTCCCGGCGCATATAAACACCGCAACCTTGAACAATGGCTCCGCATCAGGACCCTTCGTTTGCACGTGGTGCTCTAGCAGCGAGTACGCCAGCGCCGCGCCCTGCGAGAACCCCATTACGGCGTCGAAGGGCCCCTCGCGATCCATGGTGCGTAGGGTATACTGGATTGCGGCGCCCAGGTCCGTGCCGGGGTTTACGTCCCGCGGGTAGTGGCTGTAGAAGGGGGGTGGGACGATGCCTTGGAGTTCTGGGGGCGTTAGTATGTATGAGTCAAGAAGGGGGTGGAAGTTACGTACCAGGCTCGCACTCGGCGTTCAGACGGCCGTTGATGAAGTGGAATTTGTGGCCTTGGGATTCGAGGGCTTGGACGAGGCCGCCTGGTTGTTTGGACTTGTCAGCTTTGCCATTACGCTGTGCTTTGCCTGGGTTGCCTGGGTGGTTGGCTTGGGATGATTCAGATCGTACCGGATTGGATTTCGAAGATCTGTGTAAGATGTCAGTATATTGGATTTAACGGGGGTTAAGGGTAGGATGTATAGATGGCATGGCAAGGACGCCGCAGCTGAATGGGTGGATGGCTAGACGTACCTCCCCGCTTGTGCTTGCGCCATGAAGACAGAGAAACCGCATCTTGGCGCTGAGTGCTAACAAAAATCACGGGTCGAAGATGATTCCTAGAGGTGCGTTCGTTCCTAGCTTAGGGATGTGTTTATGTTTATCTTGGTTGAGATGGTCGGGGTCCGATGATGACATGTTGTTGGTGGGGTTTGGAGGATACGGTATGACTACATGGAGCTTGGGAATTTGCTTATGTTTGAGCAATGGCATGAGTTGAAGCCCTCTCGTGAGGTCAATCTTGAAGGCATATCACAATGTCCACAGCCATTATTTTGCGAAAGAACATCAAATGCTATAGTTCGTATACAGTTGGTTACTTGATTCGGTAGTGGCCGATCTAGACGTCGCTGCCTTGTGGCCTTGGTGCCTGATGCCGCGGAATTTAGATGTCTCTATGGTCTACGAGATCTTTGCTTTCCAACTTGCACTACGAGCTTGAGTTCGTACATATGCGACTCTTCTGACCAGATCACTTTATAATATTTGTTTCGCTGCCTGTAATTGACATTGGTAGGCGAACCCCTCCGATCTCCAAATCGATGCCTGAATGGTTAGGGTTTAGCCGAGGAGCCTCCTCTGGAAGCACAGTCCACACAAAATCACCACAATATCTACAATAGATGCCCTCAACATGAAGAATGTCCATAGAAGAGGCCACTTTGCTGTAGAATATAGGCCATATACATAAGCGTAGTGTAGTCGCAATCATAACCCAGACGCCGTTCCTGTACCTTACCTAGCGAGCTCACGGCCCGCTTTCGCCATCCTTCCCTCTGCTTCTCCCCACACAAACTTCCGTCGAACATCTGAACCTCAACGCATCCATCTCACCTCACCACTCACTCATCACCCCCTCTACCTCAGGTACGTCCATAAACCACCCGCTGCTATATAATATACACCAGCCCGCCTTTCCATTTCCCAAACCGACCCCGAGCTCGATCCTTCGTCGCGGGCAGCGTCTGACGTCGTGAATTTCCGAGTCTTGGCACCTTTTCCGAATCCCACAGCACACAACCACAACCACCGTCCACTCGAGCGTTTGCCAGCACCTTTTATTGACGCCGAATTTCTCCGCAGGTTTCCCCGTATAAACCGAAACTACCGTCAAAATGGATCACGAGAAGTTGGCTAGAATGCAGGCGAGCGTGCGGATCGGTATGTGATTTTTCTCTTTTTTCTCGTCGAGCTGGAGTGCGATTGTGCGGTGCGGCTGCGATTCGTTTCGGTGCGGGGAGGGCGAAAATCATTCTCAGGGCGAATGAAGCGAGCGGGGTTCTCGGTGCGATGGGTTTGGCTGGGAGTTGCTATATTTGAGGGATTGGAATTGGATTGGACTCGATTGGATTGGCTGGTTGGATCGACTCAGATTGAATGGATTGCACCGCATTGAACAGCACCGTACCCCACGCATTGGCTTCCAGAAACCCTCGATTGATAGATACATCATCTGGACGATGAGCCGCTAACTTGTATACAGGGTATGTGCTTAGTTCCCCTCATCTACACCGTCGAAAGCCCTCAACGCCCGGCCGCCGGTATCCGAATCAGCCAGAACAAAGCATACTGATAATCTCCTAGTGGAAAGGGTACTCCCCGCCGCAAGGTCAAGAAGGTCCACAAGACCTCCGGCGCCGACGACAAGAAGCTCCAGGCCACACTGAAGAAGATGAACGTCCAGCCCATCCAGGCCATCGAGGAGGTCAACATGTTCAAGGAGGACGGCAACGTCATCCACTTCGCTGCTCCTAAGGGTACGCCCCCAACTTCCTAACTACGACACCCATAAGAAACGCGCTAACCTGTGAACGTCGTGGCAGTCCACGCCTCCGTCCCCTCCAACACCTTCGCCCTCTACGGCAACGGCGAAGAGAAGGAGCTCACCGAGCTCGTCCCCGGCATCCTCAACCAGCTGGGCCCCGACAGCCTCGCCTCCCTCCGCAAGCTCGCCGAGTCCTACCAGAACATGCAGAAGAACCAGGCCGGCGACAAGAAGGACGACGACGAGGACGACATCCCCGACCTCGTCGAGGGCGAGAACTTTGACAAGTCCGTCGAATAAATATATCGCACCTCCTCTCCACGAAGTCTCGTTCTCGTGATATCACAAACTATCCAACCCCATCCATCCTCCAATCCCACTTGATTTACGATTTCCCGGTCCCGGGGGCGTGAGTGAGCGTCATTTCAAATCAATGATGATATTTATTTTTGCAATGAGGTAATAGGCTGGTCTGGCAAGCAAAATTCAATAAAATATCGATTCAATCTCTGAAACTATCTATGGTGATACAGGACAGCTTAGGCTACTGGGAGCTTGGGAAGAGTAGGATCAGCCCGGGAATTCGATCCGTGATCTTTGCGACGGTTGCTATCTTAGATGCACGTTGTATCGGAGGTCTGGTGGCAGCGCCTACAAAGTAGAGATGGCCCCCGTCCAAAGTCAACCATAGCGGCAATATCCTCTGCTATGAAAGGTAAACCAGTATACACGGGCTGTACCCGAGGACTGCCAGAGTAAATACGATTAACCCCTATAATCTTCCCACGATGCTATACTAACGCCCAAGAATGCAAATCACCGCAGTCCAAAGGAAAAGAACAAATCGATCAACACGGTAAACACCCGCATAAATAGTAAATATGTATCTATCATACAAGCATCAGGGTATAGAGGTCGGATGAAGGAGGTACCGTAGCAAGTGGCTACGCCTCCTCCCTCAACCCACAAATATCCGTCCCAAGCACCATATCAATCATAAACCAGAACCTCCAATAAACGTTCGACTTATCGTAATCGAATGTCCCGTCGTCACGGAGCTGCGGCCCATCGCCCACAATGTCGCCGGTGAACCAGCTCAGCACGGGAATTGAGCGGAGGACGCGCTCGGTGACTGTAGGCGAGGGCGGGAGCGCTTCGGTGACGGGCCGCAGTTTCGTGCGGCGCACTGTTGGGACGTGGGTCATGAATTCGGAGACGGG